ACGCGTTTTCTTTTTAAGACGTCGGCTGGCAGTTATTTCTCCGCCATTCATTGCTTTCAGTTGGGCCATTAAAAATACATCTTGTTCGGATCTAGAGAGAGCTTGAAACGCCTCACGTAATTCGGCGTATTTTTCTCTCGCAAACTTTGTTGAGCAACCACAATTGCAACCTATCTCCAGGAAACGCATTGCTTTTTCAAATTCAGTTGAACCATTGTATTCGCTATTTGTCATATACGGATAATCCTATATATAATATAATAATTTTAACAGTAAATCCGTTAGACCTGTTAACTGGTTAGATTTCTGGTCGAAATAGAGAGCTTATTACTTATTCTTTGATAACATTAGAACAGAATAGCAATAAATCAAGTTTCATGGTCATGGACAAAATTTGCCAGAACATATTATCCTTTATTATGCTGAAAGTGTAGTATTTACACGCGATCTATTTTATTTGCAGATTTCTAAGACGAAATTTAAGCAGAATTTACTTCTAAAGCAATGATAACAGGGATTCTATTGACAGTGGGGACAGTTAGAATTGCTTCTCACCAGACCTGTTGCTCAATTCGACGTCGGTTATGATTAGAACTTCCTTGTGAAGTTTCCCGAAGGTGTTTTTTTGGTCGAGAACAAGTTCCCACAGTCTCCAGGAACAAGCTCTGCCAATATTCATAGTCCGGCATCACTGTGATGTCAAGATCGTACACATACTCGAAAAAGTCTCGAAATACTAGTGGAAGCCCATCAAACAGATAAGTGAGTTTTTTTTCTTTCATATGAATGGCCTGGTATGGATCCTTGGTGACAGTGTCCCAATATGCCTTATTCGAATCGTACATAAATGCAATTGTATAACAAAGGGATTCCAAGTCATCTCCGGCTCCAAGACACTTACCTCTATTATGAGAGGCAAATATTACATGGCCTTCTGGCCAACTACTGGGGACATTATCTCTCTTCTTGGAGAGTGGAACGGCGAAGCCAAAGTCTATCAGCTGATATTTACCATTAACATTTACAATATTCCCGGGATGAATATCGTTATGAATGTACCCGTAATTATGAATGGCCTTTAGAATTCCAACAACATCGACAATGATGGTGCAGGCAGTTATCACATCAACCTTCATGATTTTCAAGCCAACCATGCTGGTGACGATGCATGGGATACTCATAATAGGATTATGGAGATCTTCGTACAATAATTTCGGAATACCCTCGAGTTTTTCGAATTT